GGCAGCTGGCTAGGGTTGTGCAATGCCCTAATGAGGAGCAGGTAGCAGCTGAAATGAGGGTGGCCAAGTACCTTGGCCAAACACCGACCGTTGGGCTGCAATACTCGGCGGCGGCGCAATGGCGCCAAAAGGGCGCGGATGGTGTTGAACCCAGGCGTTTGTTCCTCACCGCATTCTCTAATGCCTCTTATGCATCAGAACCAGAGGACATGACAATTGTGTTGGAGGCTTCATCTTCTGTGTTGATGGAGGCCTAACTGCTCGGGAGAGTAAGAAGCAGGTTGATCAAGCATTGAGCTCGGTGGAGTCCGAGTACATGGCACTCTTCCGTGCCGTACAGGAGATTGTGTGGCAGCGGCGTTTGTTGGCTGAATTGGGGGACGAGCAGCAAGGACCTACCCCACTCTACAATGACAGCCAGAGAGCCATTGCTCTTGCTAAGAACCCTGTTTTGCACGGCCTCACCAAGCACATGAGGGTGAAGTGGCACTGGACACGGAGCATGGTGGCCGAGGGTGAAGTTGAGTTGCGCTACGTGAAGTCGACGTGGCAGCCGGCTGACATGATGACCAAGAGGCTGGTGGAGTAGCAGCATTGGAAGTGTTGCAAGCGGCTAGATGGCTCTGAACTGAGAGAGCAAGATCCTAAGGCCAACAATCCGAGGGGGGGTTTCTTGGTGCAATCCTACGGTTTGCACTCGGCTTGTTTTCCGTATGCGTGTGTGCATGGAATGGTATGAGGGTATGGGATAACATATCTTTCACGCATATAATTGTGTGTGAATGTTGAGTCATGATGTCGAGTGTGTGTGTGTATAGTCAATAGCGAGTTATCATTAGTTGCGTGTTACGCGGTCATTTTGTGTGTCCCGCGCGGTTTCTATTTTTGTCGCTTGTGTGTCTCACGCGGTTTCTATTTTGTCCTGTGTCGAACGTTCGGCGTGTCGCAGGTGTGTGGAGCAGACCCATCAAGAATTCAAGAATGGGTTTGAGATGAAGAGCCCGAGCCTTGGTGTCAAGCCTCAAGTGATTTTAAAGCTCGCCAAAAGGGTACACCTCAAGATATTGAAGATAGTTACATTACTTTGTGTAGTGCAATATTTCGCTTGGTGTAGGCCCTAGTGAAGGGTATTTTCGAGACCCTTCGTGGTTGGGGACAGTGTCGCACTACTCCACATCACTGTACCTCGGCTTTTGGGGTTTGTAGGAGCCAGGAGTAATTCCCAACTCGTAACTCTTCCTATCTTGTGTTCTAAGACTAGAGTGGCTGCCATAGTGCCGTTCGTTCAAACTGACGTTGTGTCGTCAATCATTTGTAAAATCGTGCAATCTAAATTTCCTATTGTAGATGACGTAAAGAAGCTCTAGATCCAAGTTGAATCAGGTCATTCCAAGCTGTGACCATAACGCTATGAACGTTTTAATCCGCTGTGCAGAAATCTGACTGTGCACTTTATCTTTCGTTTTAGGCACATTGGAGCCTACTGTGTTTATAACAGTTATGGCCTCAGCAGCTGTCCAGGTACCAGGTTTGTTGGTTTTTGTAGTTGTTGCACAAAATTAGCGCAAGTCACGGAGTCACCAGGGTTGTCTTGTACCTTCTGTGGAACGATGGATCCTCATCCTCCTTCCATCCCACAGGCACAAATCGCTGATGCTCATGATTGGCTGATGCCAATCCTGCTCGCCCTCATCATACAGATAATAGTGATCCTTTGTGAGGGGATTGTTACACCCTTCTTCAGGTTGACTGATTCTGCCGCGAGGTTCTTCTTCCTCATCTGGCTTAGCAGCGCGTGGGCGACGTCTTGTCGCCATGTTAGCGATCACGTTTCTGGGAGCTCCCGCTTGAGGTCCTTTTTTCTGCTGTTGCTTTTGGTTTTGTGCAGGAGGGCGTGAAGCTTGTTGCTAAGGCTGAAAATGACGAGCATCTTGTCGGCCAACCCAATTATTATGGTGAGAGGAGTTTGGGTGGCGATAGTTAGACCGGGACTTGCATCGGTCCGCTGAGTGTCCGAAAACTTTGATGATTTTGCAATAATGGCGTCGTGGCTGTCGTCGCTCTTCACGGTTGTTTGTGTATAAGGCGAGGCACTCTCGACGTGGTGCGGAGCTTGTCCTGCTCGAATCCATGTCGTGCTGTTCAGTCAGTAGGGCGGCGCATAGTGCGGCTTCATAGATAATTCCTCATTGTTGGGGCAGCGCTTTGCAGGGCTTCCACTCTGGCCCAAGTCCCTGGAGGACGATGTTGAAGAAGATCTCCTCAGAATTGGTGCTTCCATGTTTCGTGATTTGGTCACGAATGTTCTAACAGCGGTTGATATATGAGTTTGCTTTCTCCCGGTGCCCCATCTTGGTCTCCATGAGTTGCTGCAGAAGCCTGCTAGCGGCGACTGAATCCTTCGGTTGATATACCTCAACGAGGTGCTTCCAGGCTTCTAGGGCTGGAGCGGCGCTCTCTTTGTAGGTGTCGAGGGAGAAGGTGTGCGCAGCGGTATCGCGACTTTTCGCAGCCTGTTGTGCAGGTTGAACTGATTGGGAGGAGGTTCTTGCATCGCCTTTGCGCAGTTCTTAGAGGTCTTTCTCCATAGTTTAGAGTCGCGAAAATAACTGCTCGAGTGTGGCAGTGGTGATCGTAGTTGTCGCCTCATTTGTCGCAGCTAGGTTGGTTTGCCCTTCGGCTGTTAGATTCGCTTGGCCTCCGCATCCTCCTGCCATCTTGGTCTTGGAGCATGTGCCGCTCACCAGATCTTGATTCGGCAAATTTCACGGAAGTGAAGTTGTGAAGAATCCCTGAGTAGCTCTCATACCACTTAACAATCCCATGTGGGACTTAGCAAAGGATCGCTTAGTGTTGATCGCAGAGTAGTGTTGCAGCGGAAGTGTTGACCTCAGGTCAGAGTGAATGTAAATGACTGAGATTGATAATAGCATGCATACATCGAGTTTATATAGGAAATGCAAAGTAATACGAAACGAACTATACTAGCCATGTACTCTGAGGGGCACATTCTCTTATTATAGCGAAGTTCAAACCATGCAGCGCGGAAACCCGTTTCAAACATGTTCCTGCTCTTTTCAGATCAAATATTTCTGCTCGCATCGGTCTTGGTCAGACGGTTACCAGCGTATCTTCGACTCTTCTGACTCCTTGACTTTGTACTCGGTAGAGTCGGCTCCTAGAGCCTACAGGAATGCCTTCTCAAAGGATTTCATATCGTAACATCACTTTCCCAACCCATGCCATCCACCTCACCCAACTTGGCCACACTTGCCAACCTGGTTTGGCTTCTCCCAACCACTTGGCAACAACTACAATAAAGATGATGAATATCCCCAACCCTCAATGGTCTATACCCCATATAGATTCACCCCACAAATTCCCTTAGTCGTCGCAACCAAATACCAAAAGCAAATGAACTTCAACCGTTCGTTACCTTTTTGTTCGTGCTCCGATTGAAGCCATCTTTGGTTCATCGGAAAGCTTTGAGCAGAGGAGTCACTTCATATATCTGCTCAAGCAGAACAACATTCACACGCACACACACACACACACACACACACATACACACACACACAAACTTTCACTACCGTTTGTCGCCATACTTTACATCAAAAAGTGTGTCTAAAACAATGCGGTACAGGGGTTTATATAGGAATATAGTGGAATACAAAAGGTCCTAGCTAGCCATGTACTCTGAGGGGGTACATTCCCCTTAGGGCTAATCTAGATGCAGGATTGCAACCATGCGGTTCGGTAACCGTACATGGTCCGGTAACCGTTTGAACTTTTCCTGCGCTTTGCACTTCGAATTCTTCCTGCTTGTAACTGTCTTGATAACTGTCTTATCGCTTGGTCTTTCATCCTCACTGCAGTCATCTTCACGTTAAGGATTCATTACTTAGGAATGTTTATTCAACTATTCCTTATCGTAACAGTTCTAACTAGGGGGAGAACGGTGGATCGATTTCTTCTGACGAGGTCTCTCGCTATCAGCAGCTATTCGGCTATTCTCTGTTCGCCACAGTTACCTGCCGTCCCAATCTCTCCTATTCTGCTAGCCAGCTTGCTCAGTTTGTGAAGCAATATGAAGGGGAGAACCTAAGGTAAGTAGAAGGTGCAATATCCTGCTTCAAATCGACTTCAATTGTTGGACTAACCTACCACAAGAAGCCGCAAGCTAAGCTAAAACTTTTTGGCTTTGTTGATGCTGATCATGCAGGGGATACTACACACACGTGCTCACACACAGGATTTATATTCTGTCTTGAACCTATTGGAACCATCTCTCATGTGCACTATTTGAGTACGTCACTGCCTGCATAGAAACGAAAGGAGGACACAATCTTCACGAGTTACTCAGTGAAACAAGATTGGTTCAAGCTCCGTAGTTTCAGCTCTTCTCCAACAGTTAGTCAGAAGTTCACATTGCTAACAAGACTGGTTTTGCCAACATAACGAAACACCTCACTGCAATATTTCTTCATCAGATTTGTACAAGCGCAGGCCGAATATGCAGAAGACATGTCCAGAACAAAGATCTAGCAAGCAGTGTACAAGCAGCAGCATAGTAGACGCCAAGCCATACAGCGATAACGTCAGCCCACATATAGTTGGCATTCCAAATTCTTCCATGTACCATCCAGCGTTGCTGATGGCAATCAATCAAATCTTCCTACGTGCTCCCCACGTGCTTCTCCGTCAACAGCTTGGAGCGCTACCATTGGGATAGGAAGAACCTGGTGGTGAGGGAATTGCTAAGAGAGGAGGGCGACAGAAAGAGAAGCGCGACGGAGAGAGGCAACAGAACAGTAGGGGAATGGAAATGAGTTTCAGTGCCCCCCAACAAAGAAGAGATCATGGAAAGGACCAGCATGCCACATACACACTCCTCTACTCTCTGTGTGTTCACCAGCAGCTTCCCTTCCCACATGCCATGCCCACATGCGCCTTCCCATTCCCACTCTCTCCCCCCCCTCCCGCTTTCCTCTTGCCTTGCTTCACAAGCACCTGCCCAGCATGGAGCCAGCAGCAAGGGTGGCAGCAAGGAGCGCCTGGCAGGTCATCCAGAGGGCGGCATCCACTTGCCTGCCCTCCGCCATGGCCGCCAGCACGCGCTCCCACGCCACCACGCTGAGCTGCTGTGCCAGGCCCACGTGCGGCACGCATGGTGATGCTGGCAGCACGATGGGCAGGTGGGGGAGAGGATGGCATGTGTGCGATGGCAGAGAGGAAGAGCAGTGAGGGAATCGTTGGGAATGCATTCGGTGTGGTTGCTGCTCGTTGACTGGTTTGAGATCAGGGTGGTGGTGCGGTCGCCGAGATGGTGCTGCTGCATCAGATTCTGCTGTCAAGAGTGTAAGTGATGATGGCGGCGCGGAGATGGGAAGTGGTGAAGGTGGTGGGGTGTGTGGAACAGCCACGGGAGGTCCACCCACAGGCGGTGCGGGGTTTGCAGGCAAAGGGGCGAGAGCCGTGCAGGGTTGGTGTGTGCGTGTGGTGGCAGCAAGTGCAGGGAGGCATGGCATGGGTGAGGAAGCAACGGGTGTGATGGGAGGAGGAGTTGCTGCAAGAGGCACCTGCTCGTGCTCTTGCACGCTCGTGTGTCCCCCTGCCTCTCCCTCCATCTCACCCTCACCGTCTCCCTCGATCCGCCCCTGTTCAATCGCCTATGCACGTGGTGGCGTGCTTGGTCCTGGGAACAGAATCAGGGGAGAGGGTGTAGCGCAGGTTTGAGGGACCAAGGAGAGCCATGTTTCATTTGGCACTGAGTGCCAGCTTCGACGTGCCCCATGTGAAAAAGGCCCACCCACCCAATGGGGAGAAGGAACAAACTCTCAGAAAGAGGTGCAAGAGAGGGATGGAAGGCACACGCTGGAAAGTAGGCAAGGGGCAAGAGAGGGGGGATCATACTGTTTGACAGGAGCAGTCGACACCTGCGGCCCCCTCCCTCCCTCTCCATGCCGTCACCATGCCCATCCGCCCTCCCCCACTCAGCCCCCCTTCCCCTCTCCCCTCGCCTGTCGTCCTCGCGCGCCCCCAAGCGCCAGGGTCGTGGCCCCCAGATGATCCCTGCGAAGGCAGTGAGGCAGCGCGCCAGGAGAGACGGGCGCGCCACTAGCAGCACCACGTGCAGCGCGGATAAGGGCACCCTCACATGCGCCAGCAGCTGGACACGCAGTTGGGGGAGGAGAAAGGGGGGAGAGGGAAGGTTGGTTGAGTTGGAGACAAAACAGGAAAGGGCAAATACGGAATGGGAAGGAAGAAGAATTGAAAGAAGCACGGGGGGGTGTGAAGGAGGATTGAAGCGTTAGTGACTGGCTGATCACAAGTAGCAGCTCATCTCATCACTGAGAGCTCCTCATTGCAAGTAGCAGTATGGTCGCACAGAGCGGAGCGCCAGGAGTGCAGGTAGAGGGACGGGCGTACCACAATTCCACTCGCATCATTTCCACCCAAGAAAGTCCCACCACCTCTACCACTGGTCCCACGACCCATGGGAGGTGGAGGGCGAGAGGTGGCACGGGGGGGCATGCGATGCTGCTGCTGAAGATGAAGATAGTTCGGAGGACGCGCAGGAGGGAGGACGGCGGCAGAGGATAAGCAGGAGTGCTGAGATGCACTCATGGGAGGGGGAATGGAAGCACCCTGGAATGGGCAGCTAGCATGCAAAGCGACATCAGAAGCAGCACCCGCCACAACACAAGTCATAGGCGCCAAACGGCCATGAGTGCTCAATCCCAAGCATTGAGTCTCAAAAGAGCCATCAGCTTGCCTCTCGTCCGCGCCTTCGTGGGCCCCACTGGTCACACCGGCGCCTTGTGCATGCCCCACGGCAGCACCTTGTGCATGCCCCACGGCAGCGCCTTGGTGCGACGATGGCAGGCCCAGCATGTGTAGGTACCCCCTCTCCCGCGCCCAGAACCTGTGCTCATTGTTGGTTGCAGCAAATTGACGGGAGCGACGGGACATGGAGATACAGAAGAGGAGAGGGAATGTGGGAGGAGAGTAGGTGGTGAAGATAGAGCAGGCAACGAAGTGAAACCCAAACCATGGTAGGATAATTCCTCACAAGCAGCAAGGAAGAGAAACGTTGGGAATCCAAGGACGAACAGGCGAAGTTGCAAATCACTCACCACCATATGGTTCTTCAAGTGCTCCTCTTTCCCCCTCCCTAAAAGAACCACCTCTCCGGCTCTTTTCCCTCCTCCTCCTGCTGCCCTCGCACCAATCAAGCCAGCACCGCTTGGCTTCCCTCTGGGCCGGCCCAGCCACCCCCCTGCCGATGGCAGTGCCGCTGGGGTACGCAGAGCAGGAGGCACGGGCGCAGGGAGGTGTGCTTGGGCGTGTGGAGCACTGTCTTCTGTAAAGCTCCTGGCAGGGAGTGTGGCCTGCTGGAAGCTGGCGGCGTCCACTGACTCACAGCCGCCTGCTGCACCTTCTGTCAGAACTTATAGCTTACTTGTTTCTGTAGGCTATAGTGGGGTATCCCATAGGGGGTACAACCCAATTAGGGTTTCCTATTTGTACTCACTTCGTTCATAGTCATTCCACTTCTCGTTTGTACTTTCTCATGGTATCAGAGCAGGTCCCTTCCTAGGGCCTGTTCCTAGGGCCCACCGAAGCGCGCCCCGAGGCGCGCATTTTTTTTAGCGACCCTCCGAGTCGCCCCTCCCGTCGTGCACCCGCTTAGGCCCCTCGTCGGCCCCCGCTTAGGCCCCTCGTCGGCCCCGCTTAGGCCCCTCGTCGGCCCCGCTTAGGCCCCTCGTCGGCCCCGCTTAGGCCCCTCGTCGGCCCCTGCTTAGGCCCCTCGTCGGCCCCGCGTACCCCTCGTCGGCCCCGCGTAGGCCCCACGTACCCCTCGTCGGCCCCGCGTACCCCTCGTCGGCCCCGCGTACCCCTCGTCGGCCCCGCGTAGGCCCCGCGCACCCCTCGTCGGCCCCACGTAGACCCCGCGTAGGCCCCGCGTACCCCTCGTCGGCCCCGCGTAGGCCCCGCGTACCCCTCGTCGACCCCGCGTACCCCTCGTCGGCCCCGCGTAGGCCCCGCCCAGGCCCCGTCTCGGCCCCGTGTCGGCCCCGCGTAGGCTCCGTCGGCCCCGCTTAGGCCCCTCTTCGGCCCCGTGCCGGCCCCACCTACGCCCTGTCGGCCCCGCGCTGGCCCCGCTTAGGCCCGCCACCGGCCCCTGCTACAGCCCGCCGGCCCGCCTAGGCCCCACTTCGGCCCCTCGTCGGCCCCACTACAGCCCGCACCGGCCCCTGCTACAGCCGCCACCGGCCCCTACTACAGCCCGCCGCCGGCCCTGCTACAGCCCGCCACCGGCCCTGCTACAGCCGCCACCGGCCCCTGCTACAGCCCGCCACCGGCCCTACTACAGCCCACCACCGGCCCTGCTACAGCCGCCACCGGCCCCTGCTACAGCCCGCCGCCGGCCCTGCTACAGCCCGCCGCCGGCCCTGCTACAGCCCGCCACCGGCCCTGCTACAGCCCACCACCGGCCCTGCTGCAGCCCGCCGTGCTGCACGTGAGCAGCCCCAGCAGCCCGCGCCGCCCGTGAGCCCCTACGCCACCCGAGCCGCGCGAGACGCCCGAGCCGCCCGAGCCGCCCGAGCCGCCCGAGCCGCCCGAGCCGCCCGAGCCGCCTGAGCCACGCGAGCCACCTGAGGAGCCGTGCTGCTGTCCCTGAGCTGTGTTCCTCTGCTGCTGACCTACCCGACTCTTCCAGCCCGGTGAGACTTTCAGCTGCTGCCATGGCCACCCCCAATGTTCTTACTTTTGACGCTGAGGGGAGGGCCATTGACTTTGCCGTCTGGATTGAAGACCTGCAGCTGTACTTACTGTGTGATGCGATAGATGAGGTCTCTCTCTTTGACTTTGTCTCTGGAGCTGTCCCTGCCCCGCCTGCTGATGCTGACTCTGCCGTTCGCTCCAAGTGGGCGACCCGCGATGCTGCTGCACGTCTTGCTGTGCGTCGCCACCTCCCTTCCTCTGAGCGTGCCCACTTTAGTCAGTGCAAGACCGCTCAGGCCTTGTACGACGCTGTAGTTGCACGCTACTCCTCCCCTTCCTCCGCTACCCTTAGCCGCCTCATGCTACCGTTTCTCTTCCCTGACCTCGCTTCCTTTCCCACTGTCGCTGACCTCGTTACCCACCTCCGCGCTAGTGACGCTCGCTACCGCGCTGCCCTTCCTGCTGAGTTCCGCGCCGCAAACCCTCCTCCCATGTATATCACTCTCTACTTTCTCGTCACCCGTCTTCCTGAGTCCCTTCGTGTCGTTAGGGACCAGTTTCTCTCTGTCTGTCCCACCACCCTCACTGTCGACCTCCTTGAGGAGTCCCTACTAGCGGCTGAGAAGAGTATAGTCGCTGTAGGGGCCTCTAGGGGTGACCCTCGCACCCCCATCTTTGAGGGGTGTTCTCCTTCCCCCCTGCTGCCCTCTGTCGCCTCTGCTGCTACGGCCGACCTCGCTGGTTTTGAGTCGGTCGGTGCGGCGTCTGCCCCCAGCGGCAGACGCCGCTCTGGCAAGGGCAAGGGGGGCAAGGGAGCGGGTGGATCTAGAGGAGGCAGTGGCGGAGGAGGTGGGGGTGGCGGGGGGAGTGGGGGTGGCGGTGGAGGTGGTGGCGGGAGTGGAGGTACTAGTGGCGGCGGTGGAGGCGGAGGTGGCGGCGGAGGTGGTAGCGGAGGAGGCGGTGGGAGCGGTGGGAGCGACGGTCCTGGTGGGGGAGGTGGCGGTGGAGACGGGAGTGGCGGTGGAGGCGGGGGTGGTGGTGGAGGCGGGGGTCGGAGTGGCTCGTCCCAGCGGAGCAGCTCTGGGGGTGGTCAGCGCCAGCAGCAGCAGCAGCAGCAGCAGCATCAGCAGCCGCAGCAGCAGCAGCGCTCTCGCACCGTCCCCGGCCCTCAGCAGCTCCGTGAGTGGTACTTGCAGCGTCAGCGCGGTGGTGCGCTTGGTCCCTGCCCCTACGTTCTTCGCACCGGTGACCGTGCGGGGGAGAGGTGTGGAGGCGCCCACACAGCCCGTCGCTGCTTTGGCCGTCTGACCGACGCCTGGCGTCAGCAGTTTCCGGAGGCCGCTGAGATCCCCCGCTGGGGAGAGCTGTCTAGGGCTGGAGTAGCTATTTATGATCTTGACTTTGATGCTATTCTCTCTGCTATGTATGCTGTGACTGGTAGTGATGAGGATGACTGTTACCGGTGTTTCCCGCCCGACCCGGGCATTGGTACTGCCGCGTCAGGTACTAGTGAGGCTGCTGCTCTAGGTGCCAGTGCGTCTGTGCTCTCAGGTGCTGGTGAGTCTGCCCTCTCAGGTACTGTGTCGGCTTCGGCCTCTCACACCTTCACCCTTGACTCTGGAGCGTCTCGCTCCTTCTTTAGGGACCGCACCACTCTCACGCCGCTGAGTCGGCCGGTTGCAGTGTCCCTGGCTGACCCCTCTGGGGGGCCGGTCCTGGCTCGCTTCTCCACTGTCCTCCCGTGTCCGGCGGCCCCCTCTGGCACCCTGACTGGTCTCTACCTCCCCTCGTTCTCGACGAACTTGGTGAGTGGTGCTGACCTCCAGGATGCGGGTGTCCACCAGTTCACCCCTGCTCGTCAGCGGGTGACCCACTGCACGGAGGAGGATACAGGTCGCCACCTGGCTACGTTTACACGTCGGCCAGGGTCGAGCCTGTACACACTGACCACTGCTTCTCCTCCAGGTGCTGAGTCTGGTAGGGTCCCTTCGTCTGGTCAGGTGTTTGCTGCAGCGTCCAGGTCTGGTCCTGAGTCTGCCCCCTGCTCGTGTCGTCGTCTGTCTCACGAGACCCTCCTCTGGCACCACCGCCTTGGCCACCCCTCTCTGCTTCGGCTCAGAGGCATGGCCTCGCGAGTCCTTGTGTCTGGTCTTCCCCGGTCTCTCCCTCCCCTTCCTCCGGGCCCTGGCCCCACCTGTGTCCCCTGTGTCGAGGGGCGCCAGCGTGCTGCCCCTCACTCCTCCCAGTTTCCTCCCACAGAGGCCCCGTTGCAGACGCTTCACATGGACGTGTGGGGCCCAGCCCGCGTCCGTGGACAGGGTCAGGAGCGCTACTTCCTGCTGGTGGTTGACGACTACTCGCGTTACACCACAGTCTTCCCCTTGCGCAGCAAGGGTGAGGTCACTGAGGTGCTGATCGACTGGATCCGCGCAGCTCGTCTCCAGCTTCGGAGGAGCTTTGGCTCTGACTTCCCTGTTTTGCGTCTGCACTCGGACAGAGGTGGAGAGTTCTCCTCCGGCCTCCTGAGTGCCTACTGTCGTGTGCGAGGCATCCGTCAGACCTTCACGCTTCCGGACTCACCGCAGCAAAATGGGACTGCTGAGCGCCGCATTGGCATGGTCATGGACGTCGCTCGTACGTCCATGATGCATGCGGCTGCTCCCCATTTTCTGTGGCCGTTTGCGGTCAGGTACGCTGCGCACCAGATCAACCTCCACCCCAGGGTCTCTCGACCGGAGACCTCCCCAGCCCTGCTGTGGACGGGGAAGGTTGGCGATGCGTCGGCGTTCCGGGTCTGGGGATCTCGGGCGTTTGTTCGCGACCTGTCTGCGGACAAGCTGTCCCCTCGTGCTTCTCCCTGCGTCTTCCTGGGGTTCCCCCCCGACGCCCCTGGGTGGCAGTTTTACCACCCCACCTCTCGACGTGTTCTGTCCTCCCAGGACGTCACGTTCGACGAGTCGGTGCCCTACTACCGCCTCTTCCCCTACCGCACTCCGTCCCTCCCCCCACCCCCGCTCTTCTTGGTACCAGGTCCCCCCCCGGTAGTCCCCCTCCCCCCTCAGGGTCCTGCCCCTTCAGGTGTGTCCCAGGTAGACGCGGTCGAGCCTGTCGAGGTCACTGGTGACTCTGGTGCTGCTGCGGGAGCTGAGCCTGGGGGTGCGGAG